GGCAACGAACGGAGCATGTTGAGTTTTAGCGACACATTGTAGAATAATATATCTTAGGGTTTAGGGTTAGGGTTTAGACAGTATGAGCTTAGGGCTTACCCCCAGATTTGGCAGTTTATTGCAGGAAGTGGATGTCAGGGCACTTATTCAAATTGAGCGCAAAGAATCACACCAGGAGGATTACCATTTCTGCGTACACTTGCTCGTCCCAGAGTATACCATTGGATTTCTATTTCTCTGCCTTCAAGCGCCTCTCGTGCAGCGTTATTGGATTCCTCACGAGGAATTACCAAAGCTCAAATTGAGAGAACTACAGGACCAGAAGTACCACCTCGCTCGACACAACTTCGAGGATGTTTTCTTTATCTTGTTCGCAACACAATAGCCCATGCTTATGAGCGCTGGCATCCAGATCTTGAAAATACCAGTCCTCATTTCTCATTAAGCAGATTGTCGCAAATAACTTTTCGCATGGACTCTATTTCAGTGGCTCTTTTGGCATCATACAGCCCGAGAGATTGTATATTCTCTATGTCTTTATATGATGACTTAGGTTGAACTGGAGGCAAGGGCTCCACGTAAACCTCAATCTCACAACGACTGCATTAATGAACATTCCAAAGGGCATCGTTGGTGGAAACTTGTCGTCAATTATGGCCTTCAGTACTCTATTGTGATACGATTGCGCAGCATTATGAGATTTATACGACTTGTTGTGATCATGACTTAGCGAGATTATTTTCAGATCAGTCAGGCTTAGACGAAAGAAAAAGTCTAGGACTAGAACAACGAATGATCGCTGGCGCTCGGACCTAGTAAATATAATTTAACCTGTGCTTCAAGTAGCTGTATTGTAAGTAAGAGAGAAACCATAATAATAATTAAAGATGAGCAGTTGGAGGATAAGTAGATAGATAAAAGTATGAAAGTTAGTGAGATAAAGAACATGGTAATCAAAATTGAAAATTGAAAATTGACAATCAAACATTGAAAATGGAAGTTGCAGGAAATCCGAACAGGAATGGCCATCCACATTTACTTGCCTTAATTTTTTTTTTTCAAAACTTCACATATGCTAATTAGACCAGACAATATGGCGAAGTCTTGGAAGGCCCACTTCTGCACAAGTGATTTACGATACCCTGTCAAACATTTGTGCATGAAGCAGTGAGAGATGACGCAAGAACATTGTGATAACTTACAGCGCTTCTCCAAATACTGACGTGCTTAACAGCATAACAAGATGTCTCGAAAGAACACGATATGCAATGGCGAGAGAAAAGCGAATCATGACATCTGATTCCGGCAAATTATACACATACCAGAAGACTGATAATATTAGTCTTGTCAGAAAAAGGCTTCTCCAAGTTTTTGACGATTGAGTTCTCTCTATTGACACGGGAATCTAACCAAGGGAAGGGAAAGGGCTGAGAAGTTCAACACGACGGGGACCTAAACACAGTGGCGGGCTAACATGCAATACCGCTACGCTCAATACCATAGTATGATGATTATGGCGACTCCGGGCCCCTTGATGCAGCCAAGGCGGCTAAGCAGCACGAAAACTGACGTGGAATCTACGTATAAATTATTCTATTTTGACTGATCTCGCTCTTCCAAGGCATATATACTACGCGGTTGCCTTACCTGTTTGACTGATACTACTCAACATCTCTATTTATCTAAATTATTGGATCATGTTATTCTCTCAGTAGCCAACATATATTCTAAAACTGCCATCTATTTTCCTTAAATCCTCTCAGCATTGGCATGAAAGCTTGATCAATGTCTGCCCCCTCAACATCAGCTCGTACCAGTCTCATACATTCTTCATGCTCCGTGCTTTCAACTGGCAATCACATCCTTGCCGAGATCTCTGCCTGTGGTCCGATGAGATATGAAACTCTGCAATACTGAAAGCAAGAGATGACGACGTGCTGCTACAATAAATTGTGACAACTGATGAAAAGCAACACCTGCAGATGTTAGTTTTGGGCTTATGAGGATTTGGGATTCATATCGGAGACCGTGGTTTTTGCCTCATCCTGATAGGCATCAGATCCCCAATCAGTTGCACCAGACTGGATGACCTGACCTTCTTTGGTCGATTGAACCACTTTCTCAAAAGCTGGAATAGCGGATGGGTGATCTGGATGCATTCATAGGCATAGGCAGTGCTATTCTTTCTCTTGATTTCACGGAGAAAACCCTTTTGGTTGACCGAAATATGAGCATTTAAGGCTTTGTGGTATCCCACGATCACGTATCCTTTGGATGTGACTTTCTCAGCAATTTCGTGGTTGGAGTATGTATGCGACATTCCTTGGCAGTAATTTTGGCAGTATAGCGTCTGGCTGTGATGGATACTCCTTCATAATAATTAACCATAGTGACCGTAGAGCATTTGCCCAAATTGGGGTTGGTCAAATTTTGAAGTTCCGACGTATCGTGAGGTATAATGTCGCCAATTCTAGCATGGTCAGGATCGGCAAAAAAACATGATTTCAAAGAAAAGAGGAGTAACATGTTCAAAGAAGTAATAGTGGTAGAGAACTCATGTGGGAAACCGGGAATTTAAACTCGATTCCAACTCCTAGTCTGGAGATGCAGTAAGATAAACCGACACTCCAATCCGAAAGGTTCTTATATGATGAACGCATATCAATGATATCAGACTATTATTTATTCAACAGTCAATTCAGTTTATGAAGTGGCCATCACAAAATATCAAAGATGCGAGCTGCCTTGAATGTATACACTATCTACACGCCGACCAACCACGCCAACAGCCGCTCATACTATACATTTGTTTCATGCAATCGTTCTATGAATTACTACCTTTGCATCACATGAGAATCCCGTTAAACTGCTCTGCCCATGTGATATCGAAATCATATAATTCGAGCCCGCTTCGACCCAGGCAGGTTAGCGGGCTCAACGCACATCTTTTCTTCTCTTATCTGATTCTTCATGGGCCGTTTCTCTCTTTGCGTTATTCATTGTTTAGTCATTTCTGGGAGAAGAAAAGCCCTAGTTTCTATTAAGAATGAGCGTCGCGTTGCAGGCCGTCGAATAGACTCCGTGATTTCGTCATTATGAAATGATCTCCTAACTATCTATTTTGTATAGGTAGTGGTGTAAAATCTCAGCACTATTAATTTATAGTTCGCATTGTTGACACACGTAGCCATAATATCTCGCATTCAAGGTGGTGTTCTGGGGGTACTCATCCTAATTGGGCGGCCCGCTCACATTCCTTCTTCTAAAACTCCAGAGAAAACTAGCTTTAATCTTCCTAGAACAGAGAGGTTTCCTTTAATAATGTCATCGTGTCTGTAAAGAGTTCGGCTGTGGAAAGAAGTGTTGAATTTGTATTTTTTTGCAAAAGCTATTACGAAATGCAGCAGAAATAGAATCATACAAAAGGACAAGGCTACATAGATTTAACGAAGCATATTAGAGATCTTGTAATCTGGCGACAATAGTTGAACTAGAAAGTACGTTATCTGTGCATATATACATACAAATTGTTACAAGACTGATGACGTTTCAAGTGTCACAGGCGCGGTACCAAGGACCCTCGATCAGTGGTGCTTAGAATTAACGGTGTGGGCATGGGGCATAAGATCGTAACTTTTTTCGATTGTAGAACAGTAGGGATTTGATTAGTTGCACAAGCCTTGCGTCACTAGATCAGATGCAGATGCAGGCCATGCGTTGAGATATGGCATTAATTTGCCCTGTTGCTTTATAATTGACAAATATAATGAGAAGAATTTTGCTAGTCACATAACAAAGCTATAGCAATCGATCTGATATGTCAGATAATATTCGGTTTTTTTACTTAGACAAGTGCGTTTTCTAGCTTCTTTTTCGAGGTATCTCCCTTCGAGCGGTGGGGTGAGAAACGGTTGCGATGGACTGCACTGTTTCTCTTGCCTACAAAGTCCGATTACAAATACTACGCTTGCAGTAGAAGCTATAGCGACAATAGTCTAGCGAGTCTCATTTTGAAGAATGGGCGTTGTTCCGTGGATATAAGTACGAATATGACTGACTCCATCCCTGATGTACAACTCACAATGAGCAACATAATTGACCAAGCATACAGTACGCAACTTGCGGGCCGAGCGCTTCAAACCAGCACGGAATCTGACTGCTTGTCTATGACAAATCGGATGAGACTATGGCTGGGTCCCCATATAATCTAACGTTACTAGATTTAGCTCATATTACTCTATAGGATAAACTATCAGTAGATACTTCACAAGGGAATTATGTCATTCCTCGGTAGTTTTATGTGATGCAAATTGAAACGAGGTGACTCATGGTGCTGTTGGCCACATATATCTAGAGACTAGTCTTGTCATAGCTAAATCGATCAAAATCAACGTGCTCAATAATTTGGTCCGAGCCATGCTTGTTTGGAACAGACCCAGTCTATGTCAACATGAAGCTCTGTTTGTTGGCCTCAGACACGAGTTGGATTGATCCTAGTAGTTTTGTGTTCCCCTGCTAATGCTCTGTTCGTTGCTATCGCTATTTCGTGGAAATGGGCCTCGTGCCTCGCGACTGTGCGCCAGTGTCCCTGTCCACCCCGGACAAATGAGAGGCATAAGTATTATTGGTACTTTTCATCGTGATTACCTATGGTAGTTCCGAAATCCAGCCACAAGTGTCGAGTATGGTTCTTGTGGCCGCCAAATGCAGTTGCAAGTGGAAAAAAATCCCTGAAGAATCACACCTCCCGGTTTCTATTTCTCGCATGGACCTCTACACGTTTCCGCCATTATTTTGGGTCTGAAGATATGAACATATCCAATCTTTTCCTATATAGTGAAAGCGATATTGATTCAGTAATGGCAAGCATAGTATCAATGGTTCGAAGAGATAGCAAGCCCTAGGTACTGTATCAGTTTTTGATGCAGGCAGTCGTCAAACAACCGAGTCGTGGTGGAATTGAGTGTTCTCAGACCCACACTTACTATGGGCTCATAAAATCAACTACGATATACACGGGGCCAATACCAATCCGATATCACTTTTTTCACACCCTCTGACGTTGCTAGTGCCGCGGCATCGCTGACTTGAGCATCGATACATTTGATATCATCTAGCACAACCTGGGCCTGCTGGATGATAGACTCAGGCCAATTAGATTGAATCTCCGCATGAGTCTTCATTTGTAGTTCTGCCATGATACGGGACTTGATGGTTTCATATCCTAAGCAGATCTTCTGATCAAAACTTTTCAGTATCGCCCTTGCAGAATGGGAATCATTCCCACGCACGACTTCTCTGAGAGGCGATAAACCGTGCTTATTCACAAAGAGTGCATTAGCACCTTTCTCTAACAAGAGCTCAATCGCCCACTCACGTCGAGGTAGTCTCGGCTCACACGCTATCCAAAGCAAAGGCGTCCTGTCAGTCTCCAAATCTCGATCCTCGATATTTGCACCCGCTCGAATGAGCAAGTTAACAAGTTCTTTTATTCGCCGCCTCAATAACGTATTAGAAGGCTTACCCCGGTAATCAATATAGTTGTGTGCGACTTGAAGAACTGCTTGCACCAGGAGAGGGCATCCAGCCTGTGGAGCGCCAGCATAACGGATATTGACGTCAAAGCCGGCTTTGACAAAAACGTCAAAGCATGCTGGCTCGATACTGCTTGGCCAAGAAGGCTTAGCAGCCTTAATAAATGCACTTTGATGATCTTTGCGTTCCGGCTGGAGTTGAAGTCCAAGTTCAGTCAGTAGATTGAACGTCTTTGGCCCTGCTGAAATTGCTCCAAAGAGGATTTGTGCAGGTGGGTCATTCAAAGAAAACAAGGCTTGCAAGCCATGGTCGAGAAGAAATCGGGCGCTCTCGGGTCGTCCCTCAAGTATAGCGGCGCGTAAAGGAGACCCATAGAATTGATCCACGACATTTGTGCTTGCATTGTGCTCGAGTAAAAGTTTTACAATATCGTGACAGCCTGCGCTTATGGCCTCGAAGAGAGGAGTGCCCTCGGGAAGGCCGGAACGGCCAATGTTGCCGTCAGGGTAGGCTCCGTACCGAAGTAGTACCTTTGCCGCCTCGACTTGGTGATATTTGGCAGCAACATCTAGAGGATGGGGAAGATAATTCTCAACCCAGTTGTGTAAAGACTCATTAGGCATTCTCGAGTAGTCACCGAGAATACCATATCGCTTGATCATCTTCTCCATGAGGGCTATGCTGCCTCTTGCTATAGCCCCATGGAAAAGGGCCCAACGGTTTTGCCAATTGGATACAATCGTCTTGTCAACATCGATCCATCCCAATATCCATTTTTCTTGCTCGCAGGATTGCTGTGTCGGCTCGGAAAATACTTCCAGGATCTGTTCTATTTCCAATTCCAACGGGTCGGCTCCATACTCCTCGAGGAGCGCAGCTGCCGGGATGTTTCGACAGCGCACAGCCTCTAAGAGTGGATTAAAGCGAGCTACTGCGTTCACAGGGTTAAGCTCGGCACCTGCATTGATCAATAGCCGTAAGATCTTGAGGTTTTGGCTTGAGGGGGCAACAGCCGTGACAGCCTGGGTGAGAGGAGAGGATGTCAATAAGTGACTATTATCAGTCGGTCTCACACCAAGTTCAAGTAAGAGCTTGACAATTGCTGGGTCATGGCAGCGCCAGCCTACTGCTAGATCCAAGGGTCTAGCAGTGTACACGAGCTGGCAGTAGAAGTCATTGTCGGGCTTGAATTCCATGAGCGATTTGATCACTGTTTCATAGCGGCAGTGGATTGCGATCTCTAATGCCTTTGAAAATGCGTGTGCTAAGCTTGGAACCTTCAATTTATGGGAGGCTCCTGGGGGGTTTGCGTTATGTTCTTCTTCTAAAAACCTTGTGACGAGAGGACCATATCCATTATTTGCAGCAGCGATGATGACTTCTCCGTAATTCTCTAATGCGAAATCCTCCGCACACGTTATTCCCTGCACGACTGCCATATTCCCAAGATTAATCGCTCGAATTAGTGCAGCTTTCTGTTGTCCGTGTCTTATAACTTGTCGATATACCTGAGGGCTGAAAACGTGGTAAAAGTCTTTGTTCACTCGCAATAACACATTTCGATCGCTAAGATAGTGCAGCTGAGAAAAAATCCCAAGAAGCATTTCATTTGGTAGATCCAAAATGTGCCGCCTTCTCTGGCTACAATGTAGATTATCTGGCACTATAAAATCCCTGTGGCTCTTAGTAGTAAATTTAAGAGCAGTGACTTCCACACAGGATACGTTGCAGGTATTCAATAGGACTTGGCATATTGATGCTCTATCAACTGATGAAAGAGGATTGTCACAATAAATAAGATAAACTGCTTCAAATCTTGACTTTGAGCACCAGAGATCAAAAATTGGAGCGTAGGAATGTACGGCAAGGTGCACAGGCTCACACAAGCAGTTTAAGGTATAATTTTCCTTTCTAAATCTTGACTGGCTTTGCAGGGGCCAAGAGAAGGCTCGATTCAGAAAGCCCCAAAAGTTTCATATATAGATATGTGTACCGCATGAAATACCACTTTATATAATTCTGAAATGGCTAGTAGAGGCCGCAATGAACGGCTCAAGCTACTGTACGAATTCTGCTTCAGGTCATTTCCTTTCTTAGATAGCGGAGATTTGTTGACGAAAGAAGAGACAAGATAAAGCGAAGAAGGGCAGCACCATGGGCTGGCTATGGGCGAATTTGATTAGATTGGGATTTGTCGAATAATTCTCAAAATGGTGCTCTTGCGGGGTCTATAGTACGCAATTAACTCCTAGTTTATGTTATCTTCATACGAGCGACAATAAAATATAGTTTCATGACCAAATCATACGTACTAGATAAGTTAGCTCTCCATGTTTTATCGCCCATTCCGAACGAATTTATCCAGGCCGCCAATACCAGGACAGTATAACTTTGAAATCAGCTTTATTGATTGTAGTATATAATTCCGAAGTATTTGTACGATATAGGGTTATAATTAGATGGTAAAATCTTCAAAATGTTACAGAACTTCTTTTATGCGGTGGAATTACCCGATGTAAGATTGCGACACAAATATGTCAACGTTACTCTAAATTTGTACCTGATGGGTTTCTATTATCCAGGCTTCACAGTCGTGAGGGGCTTTACTTCTTTTTTGTCTCCTGACGATCCAGCTCTATGTGCTGTAGCTACACAGCATATATATTTAAAGGCATTTTTTCTTGTGCATGACAATAAATGGCCTGAAGATCTAGACCATAATTCCTCGGACTGTATTTCTGATTATCCCGAAGCATCGCACCACAATGAGACCAGAAACTGCCGAACCCCCTGTCATGAGACTGATTTACCGCACGCAAATGCTTCGAGCCGCAGTCCTAGAATTTGCTCAAAGTTAAGTAAATTCAATTCAAATAACGATTACCTAATTAGAAAGATAAAGCACCAAAGCCTCGATGCGTACACATCAAAGTGCCTAGGGAGAAGACCATTTCAGCCAGAGAAGGGAATCGAAAGAGGAAGTTCACGAGAAATGCATGAGATATCAGCATGTCAGGACCTCAGCCCACAGTAGTGGACATAATTTCACATCGGTACGCTCGACAACAGTACGTTGATCATGGAAAACCGAGTTCCCTGACTCAATAGTAAGGTAATCCAGTAACAAGGAGATTGGAACTGAGTAGCAATATTTTGCATAAATATGTCAAATATCATGGGTGACTTGCCTCACACAAGGGAATTGCGAAGCTTTCTGGACCACCCGACCCATTTGTTTGTTGTTATATGTACCGAACCCCCTCACTCAAAATACAGAGCAGTTTGACAATGATAAGATGGTATTGTCCTGTGTATTTCATGACTATTACAATTCTTTCTGGATAGCATCATGCCGACGTTTCCCCCCATAACAGAGCAAAATTTTATAAATCGACACCCTTCCTACTGCAGCCTCAGCCTCAGATTGTGTTCAGTATAAGCCAATGGAAATGAGCAAGCTCTCTCTGTTATCGACTGTCACTTATATAACATGCTAGACGACTTTCAATAATCAATTTTTTCCGCCATGACCCATTTGACGAAGTGCCCATCCCAGAGGAAATGCCAACAATGCGGACTGCCTGGAATTCGCTTATCTACGCGCCTTGGTAATTCCGACGAGTACACCGGTCACTCTTACTACAAGTGCGTCCCATGCAATTACTTGTTGGGCTGTTGCCCTTGCACCACGGCAGGAGCGATGCCAACCCCAACTTGCTCGTGTGGAAAGAAGAAGAATGGGCAATCATTATGCCCAGAGAGCCGCTCTCCCTGCAGCTTTTGCATACCAGCCCTGGAAGAGGAGCATGCATCTCATTTCCACGGTATGAATTCAGATTTCGATGAGGATTGGGAGGCAAATTGTAGCCCAGGCTTCATGGTTTCAAGATTCAAGGCAGTAGGCACGCAATTGTCTCCTCGCGCATGAAAGAAGTGCGTTCTGAGTTTTCATTGAGTATTTCTCGGTATAAACGGGTTGCAATCTACCATCGGGCATGCTACAATGACAAGATTGAGCGGCCCAGATATAACATCAACCAACTATTTTCTCTTCTATAAATTATGCAGTTGGAGTACGTATACAACGCATTTTGGCTCTAAGCTTCTAAGCCTGAAATTACTTATTGATGAATGTAGCCTCATTATGCATCGAGTCTGACACCCAAATGTGGTTTTACTTTTACTTGACTGATTATCCTTCCACTAGTGACCAGGTTTAAAAAGCCGTAATTTAAGTGTGTTATTTTTCCTGCTTCAAAAACTTGCACTATCCATGAGCTTTTGTGATTTAGCAATACACACACAATTTAACGCCCGGCGGCTCAGCCGAAAGGGCAACTATCTGACCTACTATACATGTCATAATATATATGGTACTGTATTTCCTTAGAGTCCATGCATAAAACCTTGCCATAAATGTCATTTTTAGCAAGCAGTCCCGCAGCGAATTCTCGTGGGTTAGTAATTTTGTTAGTAGGCTGGCTTGAAGGCGCTTCTCCAAGTGATCAACATCCTATTTTCGGCAGTTGAAGCGCGTCTACCATCTGTGACACGAGGTGGTTGGTGGGTTAGATCGGAAGAAAGGGTGATTAATGTTCGTCGGCATGGTTAGGTGGCCTCGAGTCGGCCCGTGGCGATGGCGAATCATATTGAGGCTCGTACCGCCTCTAAGTTCGGCGTCCACTTCTGATCATCGGAAGGGGACTTTCCTCCTAGGAAGAAGGATATATTTCCTCGGTGGGTGTTGGTGCATTGTACTAGTTCTGTCCGGTGTGCCGTTCATTTTTGACATCGAAATAGGAATTGTTCCACGGTCTCTTTCGCTTGTACACACGCACACTGGTCGGTGTCTGCTACTTTAATTCGATAGAAATATCTATTGAGTCGTGCCATGCCGGTTCGGAGTTGAGCCAGCACGCTCGCTTCTTTCCATGATAGTCGGTCATACTGCTGCCGGGTGTGCTGCCCGGGAGTGCTGCCCGGGAGTGCTGCATCAACTTGTTTTGCGTATCTCCCTGTGTTCCCTGACAGGTCATTGCTGGGAACTGCTCGGGACCGTGCGATATTTAGTGTTGTTGACTTCATTTCCGGGACGCGTGCTTGCGGGCGAGCATCTTCTTGTGTCGCGGCTCTGTCCTGTTCTTTCGCCAGACCCCGCAGTTTATTGTTTTCGCTCGTTGGGATCCACCGGATATTGATCTGGGTTCCATTTCTCCGTAGCTTTCTCATCAACTTGTACAGTTGGCAGACGAGTTCCTGGCCTGACTGTTGTCGGGGATTCCTTAGTGTCAGAGCCGTCGCTTCGTTGCTTGTGAGCAGTGTGATCCTATAATCCTTTAGTCCAATTACCATGTTTAGTGCGTGTGCCACCGCGGCTAGCTCCGCAGAGAACGGATTTCGCTATGCTCTAGCACCCAATGTGACGTAAAGGGTCTTCAATTTCAGTTTTGGGCTTAGGGTGGCTGCCTCTTGATCGCTACTCCGAATCCGACCCGCTCGTTGCGTGCCGAACTGCTCGTTGCGATCTGCATTAATCCGCCTGGTGCGGTCGGTGACTGTGAAGTTACTTCAACACCAGCCTGTACGCGCACTTTCCATGGTGCCAATTGAACGGATTGATGGTTTCCAGGGTTTCCATCTCAATGTTCTTCAGCACATCTGCTACTTGATACAACGGCGAACGGTGGTATCTTCCAAATTTCTTGATCTGAGCTGTACTCCTGCGGAGAGGGTTGGTTTCTGGCACTGTATGTATGTCCGTCCACACCTTCACGACCCGTCTCCAGAATCGATGCTGTGCGATGGCAATGTGGGCCTCCGCCTATGATACTGCACTGCACCCCGTTTGCAAATCAATCGATTGCAGAAGGTTCTGAACATTAACATAAAGTCCTCTCCCGTATGAAGACTTGAATTTTGTGGCCTTACAGTAGTCTCCGTCACCAGCAGCAAGGCAGGGCTCTCTAGTTGCAAAAGCCAAGCCAACGTCTAATCTCAAAAATTGCAATAGTCATAAAAACTCGGATGGAAAAAGGCGACCACATGGATGACTGTTGCCCAGAATGATACGCAACTAAGGCTATGTTACACAACTTCATCTTAGTCTCTCACCGTCTCATTACGCTTCTTGTCAATATTGGATAATATTGATCACGATAGCCGCGAAGGCAGGTAGCCTCGAACCATGCGTTATACATAGGTAAGATAGACTCCCACTTCATGACAAGGGGCGCACTTGCAGCTTAGGGCCTGCATTTTGGACAGTCAGTAGTTTCAATAGACATGCACTCAATGGATATTGTCAAAGAACGATATCTGAAATTATCTGGACTACCCACGCCTCGCTGGTTACAATTTAGAATAAGCAGGTTATCAGTTTGGGGGTGGAGCTCTCGATATCTTTGCTCCTGCGCTAGCCGTGCGTCTCCTGGGGCTGTGC